CCAATTTATCTCTCTCAATTTCACCTTCTCCCCAATTTCTCTCTCTCTCTCCAACCTCTCTCTCTCTCTCTCTCTCTCTCCCTCTCTCCCTCCCTCCCTCCCTCCCTCTCTCCTCTTTTTCTCTCTCCCCATTTCTCTCTCTCTTTTTCTTTCTTTCTGTCTGTCTCTCTCCCAATTTATCTCTCTCAATTTCACCTTCTCCCCAATTTCTCTCTCTCTTTTTCTTTCTTTCTGTCTGTCTCTCTCCCAATTTATCTCTCTCAATTTCACCTTCTCCCCAATTTCTCTCTCTCTTTTTCTTTCTTTCTGTCTGTCTCTCTCCCAATTTATCTCTCTCAATTTCACCTTCTCCCCAATTTCTCTCTCTCTCTCCAACCTCTCTCTCTCTCTCTCTCTCTCTCTCTCCAATTTCTTTCTCTCCCAGTTTCTTTTTCTCCCAATTTCTCTCCATCCCTCTCTCTCTCTCCCCTCTCTCTCCCTCCTCTGAGCATGTATGTTTATGTATGTGGAACCTTTTGCGAGGGCATCTTGATATCACGGGATAACTATAAAACAGGGGAGGCAGCCATGAGAGTGATATTTCAACAGCCTATGCTGAAGCAGTTTGTCCAATGCTTCTCTAACAACACAAATCAACCCTCCTTCTCCTGCTTTGAAGTGTGGGGTGAAGGCATTGGAGGTCACTGCAGGCAAGCAACTGGGGGAGTCCATGTCTGCATTCATGTTGTGGCTTGGCTTTACTTTGGCTGTAGGTTTGACCGGCTGGTTGAAGTGGGCGAAGCAGTCAGGCAGGATGTGTGTTCCTACTTCCCGCTCAGCTCCCCCTTGGCCCCTGTGACCTTACATACCAGCAACCAAACCGTTCACATGGATATTTGATAGGTGAAATTATCTCTAGGAACTTGTTGAACAAGGAAGGTGCCTTCTTCCTATGGTCTACCTATTCTCCAAAGCCCCTGAAGGCAGGACAAGAAGCGATGGATGGAAGCTACTCAAGAAAGATCCAACTTAGAACTAATGGGAAACTTTCTTACAGGGAGATGTAGCTGCATCAACACTGGAGATTTTAAAGAAGAGATTTGATTGTCATTTGCCTGAAATGGTGTAGGGTCTCGTGCTTAAACAGACCGTCGGGCTAGAAAACCTCCAAGGTCCCTTCCAATTCTGTTATATTCTGTTCTATTTCCAAATATGAAAATTAACTCAATGCTCAGACCGCGGGGACAGAGATGGGTGGCTTAGGATAGAATGCCATCATGACACAGCAGGTTTCTTCACTCTCTGGTTTGTTGAGTTACTAGAAACCTCTTAAATGCGATAAGGAAATTCCAAGCCACAGCTGTCAATCGGAGTTTCTCACCTCTTCTTGCATGGCCCCTCTTCCTGAGTGCAGACTCAAGACACCCATCTCCACTTTGCAAGTCCTAACCCTTCTCTCCTAACCAAACATTTCCATTTTATTTCCTGGAGGTTCTAAAATGTATGGAATTCAGATTTCAGTAGGATCCAGAAGGCCCAGTTCTTCTCCAGCTTGTGTCTTCTGGATGTGTTGCAATTACTTTGACATTTGAAAAATGTGGCCCAGTGGTGAAATTCAAATTTTTTTTTTGGCTACCGGTTCTGTGGGCATGGCTTGGTGGGTGTGGTGTTGCTTAGTGGGCGTGGCAGGGGAAGGATACTGCAAAATCTCCATTCAAACCCCATTCTGGGGCCAGCCAGAGGTGGCATTTGCTGGTTCTCCGAACTACTCAAAATTTCCGTTACCGGTTCTCTGAACTAGTCAAGGCCGTTTTGCTACCAGCCCTGTGTTTCAGACAGGAGAGAGAGTTTTTGGAAGTGGTCTGAACCAGGGGGAGATTCCTGCCGCCACTACTACTGATTAGGCACCCGAAAAACTTTGCGTGCACATTTGCACTTAAAACGGTCTGCCCATGCGCACAACATTAAAGGGGGGGAAATTACATTTTTTCCAATGAAGATTGTTCTGTGCATGTGCAGAACAGAAAATCAAGATGGCTGCCACTGAAGATAGAACCGGTACGGCCACGTGTCTGCTGGAGTTACTACCTATTTGGCCAAACGTACCATACCAGTAGGAACCCACCTCTGGTCTGAACCAGTTTGGGCCAGTTCTCCCAAACAGGTAGTTAAAAAATGCTTGAAAAAGTTTTTTAAAAAGTTCCGATGACTGCAGCCCAGCTGATTGTTGGACCTTTTATTTTTACTTTTTAAAGCATTTTGAAACTACAGATTTGGGTAGAACTGGTAGTAAAAAAAAAATGCTTTAAAAAGTTTTGTAAAAGTTTGGTGCACATGTGCGCGCAAGCGAACCAGTAGCCGGCTTCAGAGCATTTTGCCCCTGTCTGAACCTTTGAGATTCACTTTCTCTTCCTCTTATTCAAATGATGCACACAACAATCCTCTGCCTACCAACAGCCAATGGAACTGAATTCAGCACCAAATGCATTGGAGCATTTCATCTTCCAGAGCCTTGCATTCTGGGGGGAAAAAACTTCAGGACCTTGTTGATGCCGTTTTTATTTTTTAAGGGGGGGGGGGGGGGGGTGGGTACTTAGGTCGATTCAAAGCTTGCTTTTCTCCGTTTTCACAACCTCAGCAAATCAGCCTGCAGAAATTTGTGTGCAGCTGCTGCTCAGAGAGTCTTCGCAGAACCCAGTTAATTGTAGCCCTTCAAGGCAGCTTGATTTGCATAATTAATTATGCCCTTGAGCTGGAGGGGGACAAAAGACAAAGATTTCTTGTCAGCTTGGGGGGATTAGAAAGGTCACAAATGGAAGATTCAAGGCGTGCCTCTGTACTTAACTTGCCAGTAGGAAAAATAGCAAGCTGAGGAAGGCGGTAGTAACTGCATCTGCTTCTTCCATTGCAATTCACGTCCATTCCTTTGGAAGGCATACATCCGTCGGGAGGGGGGGAGGGCAGGTAGGATTTTGTAACCTATTGAATCAGAAGCTCTGAAATATCATGTGGAGCGTTCACAACTCAGCGCCTGTGGCCCTGTGTCCTGAAGGGGAGGGCATCTTGACTCTGCTGGACGTGGAAAGAACTATGGTCCTTTTGACTGTATCCCATTGACCATGGGTCCCCAAACTTGGCCACTTGAAGACTTGTGGACTTCAACTCCCAGTATTCTCCAGACAGTTGTCTGGAGAATTCTGGGAGATGAAGTCCACAAGTCTTCAAGTGGCCAAGTTTGGAGACCTCTGATCTTAAGTGGAGAGATTGTAGAGGAAGGGATTACAAGAGAGTAAATTATGCTGGCTGGAGAATTCTGAGAGATGAAGTCTACAAGTCTTCCAGTGGCCAAGTTTGAAGACTTATGATCTAAGTGGAGAGATTGCAGAGGGAAGGATTACAAGAGGGTAAGTTATATGGGCTGGGGAATTCTGACAGTTGAAGTCCACCAGTCTTAAAGTTGCCAAGTTTGAAGACCTCTGATTTAAGTGGAGAGATTGCAGAGGGAGAGATTACCAGATGGTAAATTATGCTGGCTGGGGGATTCTGGGAGTTTAAATCCACAAGCCTTAATGTTGCCAAGTTTGGGGACCTCTGCTTACAAAGGCCTTTTGGATTCCCAAGTCCCATAATCTTCCGCTGCGAGCGTGGACGTTGAGAGGATCCTCCACTTTTGAGCAGTCTCCCTTCAGTCGAACCAGCTTTCGTGACTTGTGTTTTTGCTTTACTTCTTTTTTGCTTCTTTCCTCTTTCTTGCTCCTTCCTGCTTCCTTACCAGAAAAACTGATTGAGGGTCTGAAATCACCTGAGCCTCCGCTCCTGCTCCCCGATCTCCTGCCTCTGGCCGATCCCTTTGGTAGCACCTCCGATGCTCTGAATGGTAAAACCTAGAACGCTCTTTCTCGTTTCCTGTCCTGTCCTGCATGCCGACCTGTGTTAGATTGCATGCTTTGCACACTTGCACACCCACACCCACACACACACAGTCTCAGTGGGTTGGACTAGAAGACCTCCAAGGTCTCTTCCAACTCTGTTATTCTGTTCAGATGCCAGTTAAGGAAGATATGCAGATATTTCCACAGTCTTTTCTCCTTGAGGGTTATGAGTGATTCCTCTTGCGTTGCTTGCCAGTTTTAGCCTTGTAAAATCTGCTGCATGGATGAATGAAAGGCATGAGTGGTGAAGGGTTTGGGGTTTGCATTTGCCTCCTGCTAACTGGAGTTTTTCCCTCTGGTGGAGCCTCTGAAATATGATGTCAGGGTTTTATGCTTGGTTTCCCCCCCCCCCCCCGCAAAACGTGCAAAGTATTTTGCAGCTAAGATGACACTCCTCCCTCAAATTAATAATATATGGTGAAATAAAGGATTAATTGGCCCTTGGTGGCATCTCGAAATACGACCCTGTGACCTTAAGTGGCTTAATTAAAAAAAATGCAGAAAGACTTCAAAATGTTGCCTGCCAATGATTTAGGGGGAAGCATCGAGATCTATCCTAATAGATTTTCTAAGCCACTCAGTGCTGCAGACTCCCCAGAGTTGATTAAAAATCTAATTTTGCAGGTGTAACGTAGCAAACTGTGGCCAAACAAGAAGGGAGGGGTTCTAGAAATCCACTTTAAATTGAAATGATGACATTGAAATGGCAGCATTCCAAAAGCATAATATTTTAAAGTTCCGGGTTCAGTGAATGCAACAACCTACGTGTTTTAAAAGCCAATTTGATTTTAAGGATTTTATAAAGCAAATTCTTGCAAACTTCCCTTTGTAACCTGGGCAGGAAATTTAATCAGCTACCTAAAACTTTACAATGAGATAAAATTGAATTTACAATGAAAATGAACTTTCTGATCCGTACATTCAGTTTTAGAGGGGTCTTTTCCTCCATGCATAGTTTATTGTTAATAACTTCCCGCCTCAGTTTGTAAAGCACTGTTTACACATCCAGAATGGTAGAAGGTCTGCATTGGTGTAAAAGTTCATGTAAAAGTGGAAGGCCTAGGAAATGACCCTGAAGGTCAGGGGGAAGAACCATTAACAAGATGCGGTGGTCAAATAAGAGGAGCTTCAGAGCCCCGGTCAAGAAAATATCTTGACAAAATATCTCAGAAGAGGCCCTCCCTAATTCAGGTGAAGATGATGAGAGGGAGGGGAGAACACAATCAGTCTTGAAAATTTAATACTATATCTTTGCAATGAAAGTAGACAGTGGGTACGTGATACTGATTGCCTAGTCTGATGGGCCTTATGAGGATGACACAGAATTAAGCAGGGAAAGTCCTTTGGGTGGGTTTCCATTCAGTGAAGTCCTGCCAACCCAGTGAAGTTGAACAAGCTTATGCTATTCTTGGACCGCTGCTCGTTGGGATCACGACACAAGTTGCAGATGTCTATGAGTGTTGTTGCCTTCAAGATGTTCAAAACTCAGCACCAGTGACGTGCGGTGAGGTTTATGGCTGGCGAGGCAAAAAGAAAGCGG